TTGCAGAACACCTTCCGGACGCCCGTCTACACCACCTCCACCAGGAGGAACGCCATGGGCGTGGGCCTGGTCTTCGAGGCCGACCTCTTCACCACCAGGCACATCTCGCACTGGGTGCTGCAGGGCGTGTGCCTCACCCTGAACTCCGACTGACCCTGGGGGAGGGGCTCTCAGTCCACTCTCGTTTGGGGGCTTCTCGAGAGGCAGCAATGGGGGTTTCCTTTCACTTGAAATCAGCCATTTTCCTCTCTTCCCATAAAATTCAGCTGCACGGCTTTGTTTTTGAAGCTTTTTTAAGGAGTTAAGTAAATTCTAAAGGACAGCGTGTGAAGATGTTGAGGGTTTCTTTTCCTTCTCAGAGGAAACACTTGATTAAGCCAAAGGGCCTGGCGTGTCCCTGGCACAGGGAGGACCCTCATGTGCTTCTCCGGAGACGCCCCCCGGGGGCAGACGGCCAGGCTGCGGCCCGTCAGGCAGAGCCCTTCCCCTGGGCCAGGGCCCCGCAGCCGCTCCTCCCCTCCCAGAGCCCTCCGTCTCCCGCGTGTGCAATGCTGTGAGCTTGGTGTTTCATTCCTGCGTGAGCCCCCACCACCCTCCTGGGTCTGTGGGTTGGGTGCACAATGGCCACCTCCAGGATGGCACTGTGGGGCCAGCCTGGGGCCCGGCCGGCCGGCCAAGGTGAGGAGGCCTCACTGTGAGGGGGGGCAGGCGAGCACTTGGTGCACCAGGGCGGCCAGCCTCAGCCTCGTCGCTTTTGCCAGACCCTTCCTTCCGCGGGGTAGCTCTGGGCAGCGGGAGACAACAGGGACTCCTCTTTTCAGAAGTGAACCCCCAGCACCCCCCACGGGCTGTGTCCCTGGGTGAGGCCGCTGTCTGGGCGAGAACACAGCAGTTACAGGAGGCCCCGCCGTCTCCCTCCCAGCCGCCTCCTTCCCTCGCTGCTTCAATAAAAGACACAAAACAGAGAGGAGGCAGGTTTAGAAAATAAAGTTTGTTGGGATCTTGAACATTTCGGCTAAAACTTAACAAAAAATATGAACACACATTCAGGTTGCGGTGATATGAGAAGCAACGTCATCTTATTTAGTTCCCGTGACATACACATACACCTGCCGCCAGGGCCGCCGGGAAAGGCCTGTCAGAGGTGAGGGGTCTCCATGGGAGTGGCTATCTGACCACGTTGACACTGAGCAGCATGCAGCCTGCGGGCCGCTGTCCACGCGCCGGGACACGGGTGTGCGGGAAGCAGGCCATGCGGCACAGGCGTGGGGCACAGCTGCTACAGGAGCTGCAGCGGGACACGAGCACGTGGGTGAGAGACGGGGTGGGAGGGGAACGGTGGCGGGTCTGAGGAGTGTGGCATGCATGGAAACTAAACAAAATGGCGTGATGGGAGTTCCGCAGCGGTGATCACAGTGTGGACAGCGGCGGGCGTGGCAGCCTCACACAGTTCGGTCCGTCCCCGAGTTCTTCCTGACGCCCGTGCCCCCGCGCACCTGGTCCACCGCCAGTGTCTCCACCTCTGGCTGCGCCTGCGGCGGGACCGCGTGGGGGATGCGGGGGGCCACACCCACGTGGACCTTGTGCTTCTCGCCGGAGCTGCGGTCGGAAGCGATGGGGGGGATGACCAGGGGCCTCTCCTTGATGAGGTGGACCTCGGCCGACTCCCTGGCCAGCAGGAACGGGGTGGGGTCGGGCATGGCATCCACCGGTTCCCGCAAAAGGAGTTTCCGGCTCTCGGCCCCAAATCTGTAGACCTCGTCGAATTCGGGGTGCAGGGGGGCGGAGAGGCTCTTTTTCATGCGGCGGCGGGGCGTCTCGGGCTGCTTGTCCCTGGGGGGCCCAGGCCTGTAGCCGGC